CCTATCCTTCTCTACCCTACTCTACCCTATTCTACTCTACTCTACTCTACTCTACTCTACTCTACTCTACTCTACTCTACTCTACTCTACCCTACCCTACCCTACTCTACCCTACTCTACCCTACCCTACTCTACTCTACCCTACCCTACCCTACCCTACTCTACCCTACCCTACCCTACCCTACCCTACCCTACCCTACTCTACTCTACTCTACTCTACCCTGAACATTCGCTGTAAACAGCCTGTTCAGGCGAGTTTATTGGTATAGCACAGTTCATACACAAGACTCATTCTACCCCTGACGGGACCTGATGAGAACCAGGAAGTACCATCACATTAGTCCTGACTAGAACCAAGAAGTACCATCACATTAGTCCTGACTAGAACCAGGAAGTACCATCACATTAGTCCAGACTAGAACCAGGAAGTACCATCACATTAGTCCTGACTAGAACCAGGAAGTACCATCACATTAGTCCTGACTAGAACCAGGAAGTACCATCACATTAGTCCAGACTAGAACCAGGAAGTACCATCACATTAGTCCTGACTAGAACCAGGAAGTACCATCACATTAGTCCAGACTAGAACCAGGAAGTACCATCACATTAGTCCTGACTAGAACCAGGAAGTACCATCACATTAGTCCTGACTAGAACCAGGAAGTACCATCACATTAGTCCAGACTAGAACCAGGAAGTACCATCACATTAGTCCTGCTCTCAGGTCTCAGAGAATAGACTTTAAAGCAACTCAAACCAAAGTATATCTGTGACCAACTCTGAGGAGCACAGGGACTGGCCTCCTGCTGGGACTCTGAGGAGCACAGGGACAGGCCTCCTGATGGGACTCTGAGGAGCACAGGGACTGGCCTCCTGCTGGGACTCTGAGGAGCACAGGGACTGGCCTCCTGCTGGGACTCTGAGGAGCACAGGGACTGGCCTCCTGCTGGGACTCTGAGGAGCACAGGGACTGGCCTCCTGCTGGGACTCTGAGGAGCACAGGGACTGGCCTCCTGCTGGGACTCTGAGGAGCACAGGGACTGGACTCCTGCTGGGACTCTGAGGAGCACAGGGACAGGCCTCCTGCTGGGACTCTGAGGAGCACAGGGACTGGACTCCTGCTGGGACTCTGAGGAGCACCGGGACTGGTCTCCTGCTGGGACTCTGAGGAGCACAGGGACTGGACTCCTGCTGGGACTCTGAGGAGCACAGGGACTGGCCTCCTGCTGGGACTCTGAGGAGCACAGGGACAGGCCTCCTGCTGGGACTCTGAGGAGCACAGGGACTGGACTCCTGCTGGGGCTCTGAGGAGCACAGGGACTGGACTCCTGCTGGGGCTCTGAGGAGCACAGGGACTGGCCTCCTGCTGGGACTCTGAGGAGCACAGGGACTGGCCTCCTGCTGGGACTCTGAGGAGCACAGGGACTGGCCTCCTGCTGGGACTCTCAGGAGCACAGGGACTGGCCTCCTGCTGGGACTCTGAGGAGCACAGGGACTGGCCTCCTGCTGGGACTCTGAGGAGCACAGGGACTGGCCTCCTGCTGGGACTCTGAGGAGCACAGGGACTGGCCTCCTGCTGGGACTCTGAGGAGCACAGGGACTGGCCTCCTGCTGGGACTCTGAGGAGCACAGGGACTGGACTCCTGCTGGGACTCTGAGGAGCACAGGGACTGGCCTCCTGCTGGGACTCTGAGGAGCACAGGGACTGGCCTCCTGCTGGGACTTTGAGGAGCACAGGGACTGGTCTCCTGCTGGGACTCTGAGGAGCACAGGGACTGGACTCCTGCTGGGACTCTGAGGAGCACAGGGACAGGCCTCCTGCTGGGACTCTGAGGAGCACAGAGACTGGACTCCTGCTGGGACTCTGAGGAGCACAGGGACTGGCCTCCTGCTGGGACTCTGAGGAGCACAGGGACAGGCCTCCTGCTGGAAACTCTGAGGAGCACAGGGACTGGACTCCTGCTGGGACTCTGAGGAGCACAGGGACAGGCCTCCTGCTGGGACTCTGAGGAGCACAGAGACTGGACTCCTGCTGGGACTCTGAGGAGCACAGGGACTGGCCTCCTGCTGGGACTCTGAGGAGCACAGGGACTGGCCTCCTGCTGGGACTCTGAGGAGCACAGGGACTGGACTCCTGCTGGGGCTCTGAGGAGCACAGGGACTGGCCTCCTGCTGGGACTCTGAGGAGCACAGGGACTGGACTCCTGCTGGGACTCTGAGGAGCACAGGGACTGGCCTCCTGCTGGGGCTCTGAGGAGCACAGGGACTGGCCTCCTGCTGGGACTCTGAGGAGCACAGGGACTGGCCTCCTGCTGGGACTCTGAGGAGCACAGGGACTGGCCTCCTGCTGGGACTCTGAGGAGCACAGGGACTGGACTCCTGCTGGGACTCTGAGGAGCACAGGGACTGGCCTCCTGCTGGGACTCTGAGGAGCACAGGGACTGGCCTCCTGCTGGGACTCTGAGGAGCACAGGGACTGGCCTCCTGCTGGGACTCTGAGGAGCACAGGGACTGGACTCCTGCTGGGACTCTGAGGAGCACAGGGACAGGCCTCCTGCTGGGACTCTGAGGAGCACAGGGACTGGACTCCTGCTGGGGCTCTGAGGAGCACAGGGACTGGACTCCTGCTGGGGCTCTGAGGAGCACAGGGACTGGCCTCCTGCTGGGACTCTGAGGAGCACAGGGACTGGCCTCCTGCTGGGACTCTGAGGAGCACAGGGACTGGACTCCTGCTGGGACTCTGAGGAGCACAGGGACAGGCCTCCTGCTGGGACTCTGAGGAGCACAGGGACTGGACTCCTGCTGGGACTCTGAGGAGCACAGGGACTGGCCTCCTGCTGGGACTCTGAGGAGCACAGGGACTGGCCTCCTGCTGCAGACTCTGAGGAGCACAGGGACTGGACTCCTGCTGGGACTCTGAGGAGCACAGGGACTGGACTCCTGCTGGGACTCTGAGGAGCACAGGGACTGGACTCCTGCTGGGACTCTGAGGAGCACAGGGACAGGCCTCCTGCTGGGACTCTGAGGAGCACAGGGACTGGCCTCCTGCTGGGACTTGAGGAGCACAGGGACTGGTCTCCTGCTGGGACTCTGAGGAGCACAGGGACTGGCCTCCTGCTGGGACTCTGAGGAGCACAGGGACTTGACTCCTGCTGGGACTCTGAGGAGCACAGGGACTGGACTCCTGCTGGGACTCTGAGGAGCACAGGGAAGGCCTCCTGCTGGGACTCTGAGGAGCACAGGGACTGGCCTCCTGCTGGGACTTTGAGGAGCACAGGGACTGGTCTCCTGCTGGGACTCTGAGGAGCACAGGGACTGGACTCCTGCTGGGACTCTGAGGAGCACAGGGACAGGCCTCCTGCTGGGACTCTGAGGAGCACAGAGACTGGACTCCTGCTGGGACTCTGAGGAGCACAGGGACTGGACTCCTGCTGGGACTCTGAGGAGCACAGGGACTGGACTCCTGCTGGGGCTCTGAGGAGCACAGGGACTGGCCTCCTGCTGGGACTCTGAGGAGCACAGGGACAGGCCTCCTGCTGGGACTCTGAGGAGCACAGGGACTGGACTCCTGCTGGGGCTCTGAGGAGCACAGGGACTGGACTCCTGCTGGGGCTCTGAGGAGCACAGGGACTGGCCTCCTGCTGGGACTCTGAGGAGCACAGGGACTGGCCTCCTGCTGGGACTAGGAGGAGCACAGGGACTGGCCTCCTGCTGGGACTCTGAGGAGCACAGGGACTGGCCTCCTGCTGGGACTCTGAGGAGCACAGGGACTGGCCTCCTGCTGGGACTAGGAGGAGCACAGGGACTGGCCTCCTGCTGGGACTCTGAGGAGCACAGGGACTGGCCTCCTGCTGGGACTCTGAGGAGCACAGGGACTGGCCTCCTGCTGGGACTCTGACTGTGTAACTTATATATTACACAACGAGACCAGAAACACACACAGAACTTTACAATCGTTGTGCGTTTGTCTCAGGTCGCCCACAGGAGGCACAGGTCAGGTCTATTCCACATGTTTTTAGAGGTAGGGGAAACCGGGGCGCACGGAGGAAACCCACACAGACACAAGAACATGTAAACTCCACACAGAGCAGTGGTGGAGGCGGAATAGAACCCACAACCTTCTCGCTGTGAGGCACAAGTGCAAACCAGCCGCAGAAGTTAAACTGGCACCAGTACTAGGACCAGTACCATCACCAGTACCAGCACCAGTACCAGCACCAGTACCATCACCAGTACCATCACCAGTACTAGCACCAGTAACATCACCAGTACTAGCACCAGTAACATCACCAGTACCATCACCAGTACCATCACCAGTACTAGCACCAGTACCATCACCAGTACCATCACCAGTACTAGCACCAGTACCAGCACCAGTACCATCACCAGTACTAGCACCAGTACCAGCACCAGTACCATCACCAGTACCAGCACCAGTACCAGCACAGTACCATCACCAGTAACATCACCAGTACCAGCACCATCACCAGTACCATCACCAGTACCAGCACCATCACCAGTACCATCACCAGTACCAGCACCAGTACCAGCACCAGTACTAGCACCAGTACTAGCACCAGTACCATCACCACAGTACCATCACCAGTACAATCACCAGTACCAGCACCAGTACCAGCACCAGTACCAGCACCAGTACCAGCACCAGTACCATCACCAGTACCAGCACCAGTACTAGCACCAGTACCAGCACCAGTACCATCACCAGTACCAGCACCAGTACCATCACCAGTACCAGCACCAGTACTAGCACCAGTACCATCACCAGTACCATCACCAGTACCAGCACCAGTACCATCACCAGTACCAGCACCAGTACTAGCACCAGTACTAGCACCAGTACCATCACCAGTACCAGCACCAGTACCAGCACCAGTACCATCACCAGTACCAGCACCAGTACTAGCACCAGTACCATCACCAGTACAATCACCAGTACCAGTCCCACATGGTCATGGCGTGTGGACAGTACCAGCACCATGGTCATGGCGTGTGGACAGTACCAGTCCCACATGGTCATGGCGTGTGGACAGTACCAGTCCCACATGGTCATGGCGTGTGGACAGTACCAGTCCCACATGGTCATGGCGTGTGGACAGTACCAGTCCCACATGGTCATGGCGTGTGGACAGTACCAGTCCCACATGGTCATGGCGTGTGGACAGTACCATGAAGCCCACTCTGAGGCCTGTGTAGCATCTGGACTTTCTCACGCAGCATCATCGCGTCCAACATCTGGCGAACGCGCGGTTTACGCACAAAGCGACAAGAGCACGTAACGTAACCTCCGCGTGCGTCCTCCTACAGAGACGTAACGGCTGGTGCATAAGTCTCCATACCTTCCAGATCCAGGCCATTCTCGCGTCCTGACGTCCTGACGTCCGCGGATGCTGCAGTTGTTGTTATGATCCACACGGGCCGTCAGATGCTCGGATGCAGGGTCTGGGTCCGGGTCTGGGTCTGGGTCCAGGTCTGGGTCTGGGTCCGGGTCCAGGTCTGAGTCTGGGTCCGGGCTGGGGGCTGTGGAGGACAGGGCAGCGCCATGGACAGTCTCCCGGTACCGTTATACGTCTCCGGTCTGAGCATTGGGACGAAGCTGGACTCTGATTGGACCGAGAGGGACGCGAGAGCCCTCCCCCTCTGCGTCGTCATGTGACCCCCTCATGTAATTTCACTGAGAGGCTCTCTCTCTCTCTCTCTCTCTCTCTCTCTCTCTCTCTCTCTCTCTCTCTCTCTCTGTCTCTCTGTCTCTCTGTCTCTCTCTCTCTCTCTCTCTCTCTCTCTCTCTCTCTCTCTCTCTCTCTCTCTCTCTCTCTCTCTCTCTCTCTCTCTCTCTCTCTCTCTCTCTCTCTCTCTGGCTGGAACAACTGAAAAGACGTGACAGAGGCCAAACATACATGGAAACTAGTGTTACTACTTTTCTGGTCTCTCTCTGGTCTCTCTCTGGTCTCTCTCTGGTCTCTCTCTGGTCTCTCTCTGGTCTCTCTCTGCTCTCTCTCTCTTCTCTCTCTCTCCCTGGTCTCTCTCTGGTCTCTCTCTCTGGTCTCTCTCTCTGGTCTCTCTCTGGTCTCTCTCTGGTCCTCTCTCTGGTGTCTCTCTCCCTGGTCTCTCTCTGGTCTCTCTCTGGTCTCTCTCTGGTCTCTCCCTGGTCTCTCTCTAGTCTCTCTGGTCTCTCTCTGGTCTCTCTGGTCTCTCTCTCCCTGGTCTCTCTCTGGTCTCTCTCTGGTCTCTCTCTGGTCTCTCTCTGGTCTCTCTCTGGTCTCTCTGGTCTCTCTCTGGTCTCTCTCTGGTCTCTCTCTCTGGTCTCTCTCTCTGGTCTCTCTCTGGTCTCTCTCTGGTCTCTCTCTGGTCTCTCTCTGGTCTCTCTCTGGTCTCTCTCTCTGGTCTCTCTCTGGTCTCTCTCTGGTCTCTCTCTCTGGTCTCTCTCTGGTCTCTCTCTGGTCTCTCTCTGGTCTCTCTCTCTGGTCTCTCTCTCTGGTCTCTCTCTGGTCTCTCTCTGGTCTCTCTCTGGTCTCTCTCTGGTCTCTCTCTGGTCTCTCTCTCTGGTCTCTCTCTGGTCTCTCTCTGGTCTCTCTCTGGTCTCTCTCTGGTCTCTCTCTGGTCTCTCTCTGGTCTCTCTCTGGTCTCTCTCTCTGGTCTCTCTCTGGTCTCTCTCTGGTCTCTCTCTGGTCTCTCTCTCTCTCTCTGGTCTCTCTCTGGTCTCTCTCTGGTCTCTCTCTGGTCTCTCTCTCTGGTCTCTCTCTGGTCTCTCTCTGGTCTCTCTCTGGTCTCTCTCTGGTCTCTCCCTGGTCTCTCTCTGGTCTCTCTCTGGTCTCTCTCTGGTCTCTCTCTAGTCTCTCTCTGGTCTCTCTCTGGTCTCTCTCTGGTCTCTCTCTGGTCTCTCTCTGGTCTCTCTCTGGTCTCTCTCTGGTCTCTCTGGCCTTAGAATGCAGGAGTCCAAGCCTTGTTTACACCAGTCCATGGCTCTACTCTACTCTAAAGAAGGACCTGGTACTGGTTACACAGGACCATGAAGGACTCAAGAAGGACCTGGTACTGGTTACACAGGACCATGAAGGACTCAAGAAGGACCTGGTACTAGTTATACAGGACCATGAAGGACTAAAGAAGGACCTGGTACTGGTTACACAGGACCATGAAGGACTCAAGAAGGACCTGGTGCTGGTTATACAGGACCATGAAGGACTAAAGAAGGACCTGGTACTGGTTACACAGGACCATGAAGGACTCAAGAAGGACCTGGTACTGGTGACACAGGACCATGAAGGACTAAAGAAGGACCTGGTACTGGTTACACAGGACCATGAAGGACTAAAGAAGGACCTGGTACTGGTTACACAGGACCATGAAGGACTCAAGAAGGACCTGGTCCTGGTGACACAGGACCATGAAGGACTAAAGAAGGACCTGGTACTGGTCTCACAGGACCATGAAGGACTAAAGAAGGACCTGGTGCTGGTGACACAGGACCATGAAGGACTAAAGAAGGACCTGGTGCTGGTGTCACAGGACCATGAAGGACTAAAGAAGGACCTGGTGCTGGTGACACAGGACCATGAAGGACTAAAGAAGGACCTGGTACTGGTTACACAGGACCATGAAGGGCTAAAGAAGGACCTGGTACTGGTTACACAGGACCATGAAGGGCTAAAGAAGGACCTGGTGCTGGTGACACAGGACCATGAAGGACTAAAGAAGGACCTGGTGCTGGTGACACAGGACCATGAAGGACTAAAGAAGGACCTGGTGCTGGTTACACAGGACCATGAAGGACCATGAAGGACTAAAGAAGGACCTGGTGCTGGTTAAAGAAGGACTGGTTACACAGGACCATGAAGGACTAAAGAAGGACCTGGTGCTGGTGACACAGGACCATGAAGGACTAAAGAAGGACCTGGTGCTGGTGACACAGGACCATGAAGGGCTAAAGAAGGACCTGGTACTGGTTACACAGGACCATGAAGGACTAAAGAAGGACCTGGTGCTGGTGACACAGGACCATGAAGGACTAAAGAAGGACCTGGTGCTGGTGACACAGGACCATGAAGGACTAAAGAAGGACCTGGTACTGGTTACACAGGACCATGAAGGACTAAAGAAGGACCTGGTACTGGTTACACAGGACCATGAAGGACTAAAGAAGGACCTGGTGCTGGTGACACAGGACCATGAAGGACTAAAGAAGGACCTGGTACTGGTTACACAGGACCATGAAGGACTAAAGAAGGACCTGGTACTGGTTACACAGGACCATGAAGGGCTAAAGAAGAGCGTCGAGTTGAGAATGCGAGTAGTAGTAGTAAGTAAGTAAGTAATCTTTTTTCAATCTGAAGAGACCAAAGACACAATTAATACAATAAAATTATTTATTTGTTTGGCGCGTTGACCCCGGCAGTGACACTTGCAGCAATGAGATCGATTGCAGCTGAAGATGATCTCAGATCCCCCGGGGTCAATCACTGGTGGCGGCTAGAGTATGGTGTGAATGGGGCGTAGGCGGAGCAGGAGCCAGAGCGGGAGCCAGAGCGGGAGCCAAGAGCCAGAGGGGGTGCTGGGGAGGTGGTGGGTGTTTAAGAGCCTCAGGAAGCGTTGTTTGTCAGGAAGTGGTTGCCTTTTAAACTGCCCGCTTTGCTCTGAGAGGGTTGGCAGGAGGCTGGCCTGGCTGTGTGATTGGCTGAGGCTCGAGGCTGGCAGAGCTGTGTGATTGGCTGAGGCTCAAGGCTGGCAGAGCTGTGTGATTGGCTGAGGCTCGAGGCTGGCAGAGCTGTGTGATTGGCTGAGGCTCGAGGCTGGCAGGCACTCGGTCTTTCAGTCTGAACATGCGCATTCAGCTTCATATTTATATACCGCCTTTTCACTGCACATCGGAGTCTCAAAGCGGTTTACAATTGTTATTTTTGGGAGCGGGGCCAGTACAGGAGGCACATGCCAGACCTATTGTACATATTTTTAGTGGTAGGGGAAACCGGAGCACCCGGAGGAAACCTACGCAGACACGGGGAGAACATGCAAACTCCACTCAGAAAGGCCCTATTCCGGGATTTGAACCCAGAAATTTCTTGCAGAGAGCGAGAGTGCTAACCACTCAGCCACCGTGCCGCCCAGAGTAGAGCAGAGCAGAATAGAGCAGAGTAGAGTAGAGTAGAGCAGAGCAGAGTAGAGCAGAGTAGAGCAGAGTAGAGCAGAGCAGAGCAGAACAGAGCAGAGTAGAGTAGAGTAGAGCAGAACAGAGCAGAGCAGAGTAGAGCAGAGCAGAGCAGAGCAGAGTAGAGTAGAGCAGAGCAGAAAAGAGCAGAGCAGAGTAGAGCAGAGCAGAGCAGAGCAGAGTAGAGTAGAGTAGAGCAGAGAAGAGTAGAGTAGAGCAGAACAAAGCAGAGCAGAGTAGAGTAGAGTAGAGCAGAGCAGAGCAGAGTAGAGTAGAGCAGAACAAAGCAGAGCAGAGTAGAGTAGAGTAGAGCAGAACAAAGCAGAGCAGAGCAGAGTAGAGTAGAGCAGAGCAGAGTAGAGCAGAGCAGAGCAGAACAAAGCAGAGCAGAGCAGAGTAGAGCAGAACAGAGCAGAGCAGAGCAGAGTAGAGCAGAACAGAGCAGAGCAGAGCAGAGTAGAGTAGAACAAAGCAGAGCAGAACAGAGCAGAGTAGAGCAGAACAAAGCAGAGCAGAACAGAGTAGAGTAGAGTAGAGTAGAGTAGAGCAGAGCAGAGCAGAGCAGAGCAGAGTAGAGTAGAGTAGAGTAGAGTAGAGCAGAGCAGAGTAGAGTAGAGAAGAGCAGAGCAGAGCAGAGCAGAGCAGAGTAGAGTAGAGCAGAGCAGAGCAGAGCAGAGCAGAGTAGAGTAGAGTAGAGTAGAGCAGAGCAGAGCAGAGTAGAGTAGAGTAGAGTAGAGCAGAGCAGAGCCGAGTCGAGTAGAGTAGAGTAGAGTAGAGTAGAGTAGGGCAGAGCAGAGCAGAGCAGAGTAGAGTAGAGTAGAGTAGAGTAGAGTAGAGTAGAGTAGAGTAGAGTTGAGTAGAGTAGAGTAGAGCAGAGCAGAGGAGAGGAGAGCAGAGTAGAGCAGAGTAGAGTAGAGTAGAGTAGAGTAGAGTAGAGTAGAGCAGAGCAGAGTAGAGTAGAGTAGAGTAGAGAAGAGTAGAGTAGAGTAGAGTAGAGTAGAGTAGAGTAGAGCAGAGCAGAGCAGAGTAGAGTAGAGTAGAGTAGAGTAGAGTAGAGTAGAGTAGAGCAGAGTAGGGCAGAGCAGAGCAGAGTAGAGTAGAGTAGAGTAGAGTAGAGTAGAGTAGAGCAGAGTAGAGTAGAGCAGAGCAGAGCAGAGCAGAGCAGAGTAGAGTAGAACAAAGCAGAGCAGAACAGAGCAGAGTAGAGCAGAACAAAGCAGAGCAGAGTAGAGTAGAGTAGAGTAGAGCAGAGTAGAGTAGAGTAGAGTAGAGTAGAGTAGAGCAGAGCAGAGCAGAGTAGAGTAGAGTAGAGCAGAGCAGAGCAGAGCAGAGCAGAGTAGAGTAGAGTAGAGTAGAGTAGAGTAGAGTAGAGTAGAGTAGAGTAGAGTAGAGCAGAGCAGAGCAGAGTAGAGTAGAGTAGAGTAGAGCAGAGCAGAGCAGAGCAGAGCAGAGTAGAGTAGAGTAGAGTAGAGTAGAGTAGAGTAGAGTAGAGTAGAGTAGAGCAGAGCAGAGTAGAGTAGAGTAGAGTAGTGCAGAGCAGAGCAGAGCAGAGTAGAGTAGAGTAGAGCAGAGCAGAGCAGAGCAGAGCAGAGCAGAGTAGAGTAGGGCAGAGCAGAGCAGAGCAGAGCAGAGCAGAGTAGAGTAGAGTAGAGCAGAGCAGAGCAGAGCAGAGCAGAGCAGAGTAGAGTAGGGCAGAGCAGAGCAGAGTAGAGTAGAGTAGAGTAGAGTAGAGTAGAGTAGAGCAGAGTAGAGTAGAGTAGAGTAGAGTAGAGTAGAGTAGAGTAGAGTAGAGTAGAGTAGAGTAGAGTAGGGCAGAGCAGAGCAGAGTAGAGTAGAGTAGAGTAGAGTAGAGTAGGGCAGAGCAGAGCAGAGTAGAGTAGAGTAGAGTAGAGTAGAGTAGAGTAGAGTAGAGTAGAGTAGAGAGAGTATAGTAGAGTAGAGTAGAGTAGAGTAGAGTAGGGCAGAGCAGAGCAGAGTAGAGTAGAGTAGGGCAGAGTAGAGTAAAGTAGAGTAGAGTAGAGTAGAGTAGAGTAGAGTAGAGTAGACATGTAATAACAAACTAAGATTACATAAGGTTGAGTGTCGCTGCAGAAAGAGGCCTCACTCTGACCTCTGTTTTAATCAGCACATTTTAATACTCTTTAATACTGTTTAATACTGTTTAATACTCCTGTGAGGATTAGGGGAAGCTGCTCTAATTACATTAAACCATGTTTGAAAAGGACATCATCCACGGTGTGACATCATCCACAGTGTGACATCATCCACAGTGTGACATCATCCACAGTGTGACATCATCCACAGTGTGACATCATCCAAACGTCAACAGGAAAGGAAAAGAAAGGTCTACAGTCTCAGTCCTGGGTCTACAGTCTCAGTCCTGGGTCTACAGTCTCAGTCCTGGGTCTACAGCAGGGGTGCTCAATACGTCGATCGCGATCTACCGATCGATCGCAAAGGTAGTATTGGTAGATCGCATTAAATAAAAACTAAATTACACATTCTAAACGAATATATACAAAAAACTCCGGGCAAAGTGGAGATTTTTGAAAACTCTGTTAATGCATTTGTGTGTAGACAGAGATAACCAGAGTTTTGCGTTCTCGCACGCCACAGTACCCCCCTAAATTCCTCTGATCACTGAAGCATGGATCATACTACCTTAAAAACTGTCCGCTGTGAGATGCTCGCAGCAGCGAACATCCTCCACATCAGAGAGCAGCAAAGTGATCGCGGGGACTCACGCTCGAAAACAACCAAACCAGGACTAAACCAGGACTAAACCAGGACTAAACCAGGACTAAACCAGGGCTGAGGACGGGGTCAGTGCTTGTAAACATACGTCTTACTCTTTACTCTGAGTGTCTTCTATGACTGTAAAAGTGCCGTTACCGGCGTCTGCATCAGAACTCCGCCCACTTCTGTGTTTTTCCCCAACGCAGGACAGGACGTAAGAGACGCACATGTTTGGAATGTTACGAATGTGATTGATAACGCAGATGTGTGGATGCAAATTATTTTATAAACGGAGGAGGGGAAATATTTGGATTTAAAAAAAACAGGCATGGCACATGGACATGGCACCACAGTCAAATGACATCTGTGTTTTACTCAGTAATGTTTTACTGACACTTAGGTGACTGCACATGCGCAAACAACCGCGCTCAGTGCAGGAAAGCTAAACCACGACAAACTTGTCAGCGAGTTACCACCAATTTTCCGGACTATGCATCCCTGGCCGATTCAATTCAGTGCAAGTCATAAGAGTAAACTCGGGTAATGACAAAAAATGTACATAGGTAATTTTGTTGTGTTGTGCTATATTGGCTCATGCTGTTTTTGCATGTACATAAACATACATTGTAGATATAAAGAATATTTTTTGAAATATATGATTTGCATTTTTGTAGTAGGTAGATCATTTTGACTTGATCCTTTTAAAAGTAGCTCGCATGCTGAAAAAGTGTGAGCACCCCTGGTCTACAGTCTCAGTCCTGGGTCTACAGTCTCAGTCCTGGGTCTACAGTCTCAGTCCTGGGTCTACAGCCTCAGTCCTGGGTCTACAGCCTCAGTCCTGGGTCTACAGCCTCAGTCCTGGGTCTACAGCCTCTGTCCTGGGTCTACAGCCTCAGTCCTGGGTCTACAGCCTCAGTCCTGGGTCTACAGCCTCAGTCCTGGGTCTACAGCCTCAGTCCAGGGTCTACAGCCTCAGTCCTGGGTCTACAGCCTCAGTCCTGGGTCTACAGCCTCAGTCCTGGGTCTACAGCCTCAGTCCTGGGTCTACAGCCTCAGTCCTGGGTCTACAGCCTCAGTCCTGGGTCTACAGCCTCAGTCCTGGATCTACAGCCTCAGTCCTGGGTCTACAGCCTCAGTCCTCAGAGATTCAGAGGGAGCTGAAGGTTCTGAACCAAAGACAGATTATCTGAACACATGGTTTTACATCAAAAACAAAACAGATGCAAAAAGGTTCTTTAAAAACACACTTCACCTCAAAGGATCTTGGACTTCTCGCACAGACGCCTCACAGAGAGGTGGGGGTGTACAGGAAACAGAATTACCCAATCAATTCTGATGGAGCTGTTTTTCCTCTCATAAAAAAGCCTCTGCATCTGTTTGTTTGATACGGAACTTTATCCCAGAAGACCTCAAACAATGTCCGACTATAAAACGGTTCAAGATTCAATGAAAAGAAACAATGGTCTCTGAGTGTGTGTGAGCCAGATTCATTGTGTGTTATAACTTTATTAATCTGACACAGGAGAAATGTACATGTCCCATTGGCAGGAACAGGAACACTCAAGAATTGTGCAAAAGTCAGAAATGTGCAGCGTATTTATTATGTACAACAAGTCACCTTACCTGTTGATATTATTTCTGATGTTTATTCTCATATTCTCATATTCTCCGCTGCTAATGTTTCCGAAATGTGCTAAAAATTGCTCAGATGACTGCGCATGTTTGGGACAAACTCTGTCCGACACGTTCTCCACATTTGTGTGTATTTATTTGGGCTAAATCATTGAATCATGGTGACAACAAAACACTGCAGTTATGGTGCTTGTCGGAACGATTCCAGATACTCTGAAAAGGACTATATGAAAGTAAGTTTTGATAATTTTATACATTTTACCTTTTTAAAAGCTTTGTTTAAGTGTCTTAATGGATTAGCCCCTGAAGTAATGTGTAAAAACATCCAAAGGTGCAGCAGTGAGGGTGTGCAGACTCGAGCTGCAGTCAGTGGGAGCTGCAGAGTGAGAAGGTGCCGGACGACTCTGGGTCAGTCTCAGTGAAGGCCTCACATCTGTGGAACTGAAGTCACAGTCGGACACTAGACTTTTCTCCACTAAACTGAAAAAGTGGCTTAAGGAAAATCAGAAGTGTGAGCACTAAACCTGAATGTAGTATGGACAAATGGGGTCAGTTATTTTTATTGATGTGTGGTTGTTCTTTTCTCCCCTTTTTTTTTTAAACTTGTTTCTTCGCTTTCTCCAAAAGCCTAACCAGGGACGGGGGCTGCAAATTAGCCTTTGGCTAGAAGCCTTGTGTACTTCACATCGGTTACCTGTGATCTAGTGCACTTGGTTCACGAGTTTGCACATTTCATTTGCTGTGTCTTTCTGCTGTGTCCACTGTGGTGAGTATTCTGTGTAGCAGCCCTGGGCACCTCCCTGGGCACCTCCCTGGGCACCTCCCTGGGCACCTCCCTGGGCACCTCCCTGGGCACCTCCCTGGGCACCTCCCTGGGCACCTCCCTGGGCACCTCCCTGGGCACCTCCCTGGGCACCTCCCTGGGCACCTCCCTGGGAACCTCCCTGGGCACCTCCCTGAGCACCTCCCTGGGCACCTCCCTGAGCACCTCCCTGGGCACCTCCCTGGGCACCTCCCTGAGCACCTCCCTGGGCACCTCCCTGGGCACCTCCCTGGGCACCTCCCTGGGCACCTCCCTGAGCACCTCCCTGGGCACCTCCCTGAGCACCTCCCTGGGCACCTCCCTGAGCACCTCCCTGGGCACCTCCCTGGGCACCTCCCTGAGCACCTCCCTGAGCACCTCCCTGGGCACCTCCCTGAGCACCTCCCTGGGCACCTCCCTGAGCACCTCCCTGAGCACCTCCCTGAGCACCTCCCTGGGTACCTCCCTGGGCACCTCCCTGAGCACCTCCCTGGGCACCTCCCTGAGTAGCATGCTCACCACCGGTGGCCCCAGCTAGCTCCCTTTTTGTTTTGGTATTTGCATTTTTAGCATTTAGGCCTTTTTAGATTCATCTTTACCATTTTAATAACTTTTTGAATAACCTTTTATTTTTTTGTTTAATTTGTTAAATAAAATCGACCTTTTGTAAATTTAGTTTGTCCAATTCCTTTCTCTTTTTAGCAGCATCTTTTTTTATCAATAAACATTTTAATCTTTCATTCACTGTCATATTTTAACCAGATACCTGTGTTCCTTTTTATATTGTAATTTGGTTGTGACCCTTGGTTATTTTATTTTTTAAATCAACCACACCCTCGGTGTACCACATATGTATAATATATATGTGTTTGTCATTAGTGTTTACTGAGTGTGGCTCTGATAGTTTCTCTTCTATTATAATATCAGCTGACTGTAACTAACTAATGATCAAACTAATTAAAAAGTGGACAGTACAAAAAACAACTTGATAAATGGAAGTTAATCACAGCAAAATAAACAAAGAAGGCGCTAGCATTGAATTTAAATGACAGGATAATGTTATCTTAATCCTCACCATTATCTTTTTATCAACTCAAACTTTCTACCAGTTACAGACCACGACATTCAAGCCAACGCTATAACTGGTCTAACTATGGTCCTGATGGTTTGATGGTCTACACTATGGTCCTGATGGTTTGATGGTCTACACTATGGTCCTGATGGTTTTATGGTGGATTATCATTTTCGTCTAAAGTGACAAGTGGCATTTGATTCATTTTGGCAGTGTTTGTCCGAAACATGTGGGCGGGACCTGACAGGCGGCGGGGGCGTGTCTTAGTGACGTCATTCAGATAGTTCGCTATTAGTGCAGGTTTCTTTTCAGTCCTAGTGCAGTGACAGTGACTTATTGTACAGTCTGACAGCGGTGGGGATAAAGGCCCTGCTCCTTCTTCCACTGAAGGAGCTCCTCAGCTCCTCCTCAGTCCTGTGCAGTGGGAGGTGTTGTTCATGATGGAGGTGACTTTGGCTAGCACCTCCTGTCCCTCACCTCCTCCACAGAGTCCAGGGGCCTCCTGTCGCTCACCTCCTCCAGAGTCCAAGGGCCTCCTGTCCCTCACCTCCTCCACAGAGTCCAGGGGCCTCCTGTCCCTCACCTCCTCCACAGAGTCCAGGGGCCTCCTGTCCCTCACCTCCTCCTGACCAGCTTGTTCAGTCTGTTTCTGTCCCGCTCTGTGCTGCCCAGGGCCCAGCACACGGCAGCGTAGTAAATGGCAGAAGCTACCACAGAGTCATAAAAAGTCCTGAGCAGAGGCCTGCTCACTCCGAAGGACCTCAGCCTCCTCAGAAGGACCTCAGGCTCCTCAGAAGGACCTCAGCCTCCTCAGAAGGACCTCAGCTTCCTCAGGAGGACCTCAGCCTCCTCAGAAGGACCTCAGCCTCCTCCAAAGGACCTCAGCCTCCTCAGAAGGACCTCAGCCTCCTCAGAAGGACCTCAGCCTCCTCAGAAGGACCTCAGCCTCCTCCAAAGGACCTCAGCCTCCTCAGAAGGACCTCAGCCTCCTCAGAAGGACCTCAGCCTCCTCAGAAGGACCTAAGCCTCCTCAGAAGGACCTCAGCCTCCTCAGAAGGACCTAAGCCTCCTCAGAAGGACCTCAGCCTCCTCAGAAGGACCTCAGCCTCCTCAGAAGGACCTAAGCCTCCTCAGAAGGACCTAAGCCTCCTCAGAAGGACCTCAGCCTCCTCAGAAGGACCTAAGCCTCCTCAGAAGGACCTCAGCCTCCTCAGAAGGACCTCAGCCTCCTCAGAAGGACCTAAGCCTCCTCAGAAGGACCTCAGCCTCCTCAGAAGGACCTCAGCCTCCTCAGAAGGACCTCAGCCTCAGAAGGACCTCAGCCTCCTCAGAAGGACCTCAGCCTCCTCAGAAGGACCTCAGCCTCCTCAGAAGGACCTCAGCCTCCTCAGAAGGACCTCAGCCTCCTCAGAAGGACCTCAGCCTCCTCAGAAGGACCTAAGCCTCCTCAGAAGGACCTCAGCCTCCTCAGAAGGACCTCAGCCTCCTCAGAAGGACCTCAGCCTCAGAAGGACCTCAGCCTCCTCAGAAGGACCTCAGCCTCCTCAGAAGGACCTCAGCCTCAGAAGGACCTCAGCCTCCTCAGAAGGACCTAAGCCTCCTCAGAAGGACCTCAGCCTCCTCAGAAGGACCTCAGCCTCAGAAGGACCTCAGCCTCCTCAGAAGGACCTCAGCCCCCTCAGAAGGAAGAGGCGACTTTGGCCCTTCTTGTGCAGGGCGTTTGTATTATGGACCAGTCCAGTTTATTGTTAATGTGAACACCCAGGTACTTGAAGCTGTCCACCAGCTCAATGTCCTCCCCCTGGATGTTCAGCAGCGTGTGGGAAAGTGGTTTTCTCCTGAAGTCGATGACCATCTCCTTGGTCTTACTGGTGTTCAAGCACAAGTGGTTGCGCTCACACCAGTCGACAAAGTCTGTGATAACCGCCTCGTACGGTCGACACGGCTCTTTGCTGCTCTCTTTTTCTTTTGTTTCTACTTTTTAACTGTGCATCTGGCTGTTCCTACACCCGTGAGGAACTTATGAACATCCGACCCACCGTCCCCATGGACCTATTGCCTGTTTTCTTGGCATCTGCGAAACCTGCAGTGAGGAGCTCCAAAGTGTGGTCTGATGAAGCTGTGGAAGAGCTGCAGTGAGGAGCTCCAAAGTGTGGTCTGATGAAGCTGTGGAAGAGCTGCAGTGAGGAGCTCCAGAGTGTGGTCTGATGAAGCTGTGGAAGAGCTGCAGTGAGGAGCTCCAAAGTGTGGTCTGATGAAGCTGTGGAAGAGCTGCATGCATGGAATCTACAGACTGGGACCTTTTCAGAGCTGCCACAGACAGTTTGGATGAATACACGGACACTGTGACGTCATACATTCACTTCTGTGAGGATAGCATCATTCCAACAAGGACCAGGGTCATCTATAACAACGACAAACCCTGGTTCACTGCTAAACTCCGGCAGCTCAGGAAAGCAAAGGAGTCTGCTTTCAGGGAGGGGGACCGCAGCGGCTACAAAGCAGCTAAATATCAGTTCAGGAAAGAACTGAAAGCAGCCAAGTCCCGGCACAGAGAACGACTACAGGAGCAGTTTGGTAACAACGATACTGCTTCTGTCTGGAGGGGCCTACGGGAGATCACCAACTACAGACCCAAAGCCCCCCCCTGTGCTGACGACCACAAGCTAGCTGACGAACTGAACTTATTTTTCAGTCGCTTTGATGCTGCCCCTGACACCTCTCCCCCCCACTACTCTAACGACCCACCTATCAGCCCTGCCCCCAGCCTAACAATAGCCTCTAAAGAGATTAAACAACTCTTCTTGAGGCTGCACCCCCGCAAAGCTCCTGGCCCGGACCACGTGTCTCCGGCCACTCTGAGACACTGCCCCAGTGAGCTTACTCCTGTGGTCACGGACATTTTCAACACCTCTCTGCAGTCCTGCCATGTCCTGCTTCAAATCCTCCATCATTGTCCCCGTCCCGAAGAAGCCCAGGATCACAGGACTCAACGACTACAGACCTGAAGCACTTACGTCTGTCGTCATGAAGTCATTTGAACGCCTGGTCCTCTCCCATCTCAAGTCCTTCACCTCCCCCCTCCTGGACCCCCTGCAGTTCACCTCCCCCCTCCTGGACCCCCTGCAGTTCACCTCCCCCCTCCTGGACCCCCTGCAGTTCGCCTACAGAGCCAACAGATCTGTAGACGACGCCATTAACCTGGCCCTCCACCACATCCTACAGCACCTGGACTCCCCGGGGACCTACGCCAGGGTCCTGTTCGTGGACTTCAGCTCTGGCTTCAACACAATCCTGCCATCCCTGCTCCAGGACAAGCTCTCCCAGCTCAACGTGCCCGATTCCACCTGCAGGTGGATCACTGACTTCCTGACGGACAGGAAGCAGCGAGTGCGTCTGGGGAAGAATGTCTCGGACTCTGGGATTATAAATACAGGAGCCCCACAGGGCTGTGTTCTTTCTCCCCTGCTCTTCTCCCTGTACACCAACCACTGCACCTCCTCCCACTGCACCTCCTCCCACTGCACCTCCAACCACTGCACCTCCAGCCACTGCACCTCCAGCCACGACTCCGTGAAGCTGATCAAGTTCGCGGACGACACCACCCTCATTGGACTCATCTCCAACAACGATGAGTCCGCCTACAGGAGGGAGGTGGACCGGCTGGTGTCCTGGTGTCTCCTACAGGAGGGAGGTGGACCGGCTGGAGTCCTGGTGTCTCCTACAGGAGGGAGGTGGACCGGCTGGTGTCCTGGTGTCTCCTACAGGAGGGAGGTGGACCGGCTGGTGTCCTGGTGTCTCCTACAGGAGGGAGGTGGACCGGCTGGTGTCCTGGTGTCTCCTACAGGAGGGAGGTGGACCGGCTGGTGTCCTGGTGTCTACTACAGGAGGGAGGTGGACCGGCTGGTGTCCTGGTGTCTCCTACAGGAGGGAGGTGGACCGGCTGGTGTCCTGGTGTCTCCTACAGGAGGGAGGTGGACCGGCTGGTGTCCTGGTGTCTCCTACAGGAGGGAGGTGGACCGGCTGGTGTCCTGGTGTCTCCTACAGGCGGGAGGTGGACCGGCTGGTGTCCTGGTGTCTCCTACAGGAGGGAGGTGGACCGGCTGGTGTCCTGGTGTCTCCTACAGGAGGGAGGTGGACCGGCTGGTGTCCTGGTGTCTCCTACAGGAGGGAGGTGGACCGGCTGGTGTCCTGGTGTCTCCTACAGGAGGGAGGTGGACCGGCTGGTGTCCTGGTGTCTCCTACAGGAGGGAGGTGGACCGGCTGGTGTCCTGGTGTCTCCTACAGGAGGGAGGTGGACCGGCTGGTGTCCTGGTGTCTCCTACAGGAGGGAGGTGGACCGGCTGGTGTCCTGGTGTCTCCTACAGGAGGGAGGTGGACCGGCTGGTGTCCTGGTGTCTCCTACAGGAGGGAGGTGGACCGGCTGGTGTCCTGGTGTCTCCTACAGGAGGAGGTGGACCGGCTGGTGTCCTGGTGTCTCCTACAGGAGGGAGGTGGACCGGCTGGTGTCCTGGTGTCTCCTACAGGAGGAGGTGGACCGGCTGGTGTCCTGGTGTCTCCTACAGGAGGGAGGTGGACCGGCTGGTGTCCTGGTGTCTCCTACAGGAGGGAGGTGGACCGGCTGGTGTCCTGGTGTCTCCTACAGGAGGGAGGTGGACCGGCTGGTGTCCTGGTGTCTCCTACAGGAGGGAGGTGGCCCGGCTGGTGTCCTGGTGTCTCCTACAGGAGGGAGGTGGACCGGCTGGTGTCCTGGTGTCTCCTACAGGAGGGAGGTGGACCGGCTGGTGTCCTGGTGTCTCCTACAGGAGGGAGGTGGACCGGCTGGTGTCCTGGTGTCTCCTACAGGAGGGAGGTGGACCGGCTGGTGTCCTGGTGTCTCCTACAGGAGGGAGGTGGACCGGCTGGTGTCCTGGTGTCTCCTACAGGAGGGAGGTGGACCGGCTGGTGTCCTGGTGTCTCCTACAGGAGGGAGGTGGACCGGCTGGTGTCCTGGTGTCTCCTACAGGAGGGAGGTGGACCGGCTGGTGTCCTGGTGTCTCCTACAGGAGGGAGGTGGACCGGCTGGTGTCCTGGTGTCTCCTACAGGAGGGAGGTGGACCGGCTGGTGTCCTGGTGTCTCCTACAGGAGGGAGGTGGACCGGCTGGTGTCCTGGTGTCTCCTACAGGAGGGAGGTGGACCGGCTGGTGTCCTGGTGTCTCCTACAGGAGGGAGGTGGACCGGCTGGTGTCCTGGTGTCTCCTACAGGAGGGAGGTGGACCGGCTGGTGTCCTGGTGTCTCCTACAGGAGGGAGGTGGACCGGCTGGTGTCCTGGTGTCTCCTACAGGAGGGAGGTGGACCGGCTGGTGTCCTGGTGTCTCCTACAGGAGGGAGGTGGACCGGCTGGTGTCCTGGTGTCTCCTACAGGAGGGAGGTGGACCGGCTGGTGTCCTGGTGTCTCCTACAGGAGGAGGTGGACCGGCTGGTGTCCTGGTGTCTCCTACAGGAGGGAGGTGGACCGGCTGGTGTCCTGGTGTCTCCTACAGGAGGAGGTGGACCGGCTGGTGTCCTGGTGTCTCCTACAGGAGGGAGGTGGACCGGCTGGTGTCCTGGTGTCTCCTACAGGAGGGAGGTGGACCGGCTGGTGTCCTGGTGTCTCCTACAGGAGGGAGGTGGACCGGCTGGTGTCCTGGTGTCTCCTACAGGAGGAGGTGGACCGGCTGGTGTCCTGGGTGTCTCCTACAGGAGGGAGGTGGACCGGCTGGTGTCCTGGTGTCTCCTACAGGAGGGAGGTGGACCGGCTGGTGTCCTGGTGTCTCCTACAGGAGGGAGGTGGACCGGCTGGTGTCCTGGTGCAGTGGTAACAACCTGGAGCTGAACGCCCAGAAGACAGTGGAGATGATTGTGGACTTCAGGAAGAGCACTGTGGATTATAACGTGTATCCAGAGCCAAAATGTGGATTCTCCGCAGACGAGATCATTCAGTAAATGTTGGTTGTTTTGTGTAATTCATTTCTTTCATTAAGTTGCTGTTACTTTCATTGTTCTATCTCCGTCTGAATAAATAAATAAAAACATCTTTACAGCCTGCTTCAAAGGTCGGGTCCAGATGTTACAGACCGCCCCTTTAAATCTAATCTAACTTCAGGCGGCACGGTGGCTGAGTGGTTAGCCCTGGGTTCGAATCCCCGTGTCGTGGTAGGTTATCTCCAGTTTCCCCTTCCACAATAGGTCTGAATGTAGATGAGTGAATGATGGTGTTGGGTCAGAGGCTTTGATGGTCCAGTGTGTTCTGGACTGGCTTCTGTCATCACCGTGTGTGGACGGATCAGAACAATATCTGACTCTGTACCTTTGGGTCTGTACCTTTGGGTCTGTACCTTTGGGTCTGTACCTTTGGGTCTGTACCTTTGGGTCTGTACCTTTGGGTCTGTACCTTGGTCTGTAACATGTGCGATATAATAACATGACATTGACAGTTTATTTGACAGAATGTCGCACAAACATCAGTTTAGTGTCAGACAAATATTCAAATGTTCAAACTTTATTGACAGTTTTTTAGACAAAACACAAAGATGTCACACAGAGCAGATTCTACCCCACCTGGTACCGTATCCTAGCAACCTACCCACAACCAGTATCCGTGGAAATTCCTTGGTAACCATGGCTTTCAGCAGCACTCTGGCCAATCACTGTCAAAACACTTTAGTACCAGCTCGGCCTGGATAGAACCAGGACCATGAAGGACTAAAGAAGGACCTGGTACTGGTTACACAGGACCATGAAGGACTAAAGAAGGACCTGGTACTGGTCTCACAGGACCATGAAGGACTAAAGAAGGACCTGGTACTGGTCTCACAGGACCATGAAGGACTAAAGAAGGACCTGGTACTGGTTACACAGGACCATGAAGGACTAAAGAAGGACCTGGTACTGGTTACACAGGACCATGAAGGACTAAAGAAGGACCTGGTACTGGTTACACTGGACCATGAAGGACTAAAGAAGGACCTGGTACTGGTCTCACAGGACCATGAAGGACTAAAGAAGGACCTGGTGCTGGTGACACAGGACCATGAAGGACTAAAGAAGGACCTGGTGCTGGTGACACAGGACCATGAAGGGCTAAAGAAGGACCTGGTACTGGTGACACAGGACCATGAAGGACTAAAGAAGGACCTGGTACTGGTCTCACAGGACCATGAAGGACTAAAGAAGGACCTGGTACTGGTCTCACAGGACCATGAAGGACTAAAGAAGGACCTGGTACTGGTTACACAGGACCATGAAGGACTAAAGAAGGACCTGGTACTGGTTACACAGGACCATGAAGGACTAAAGAAGGACCTGGTACTGGTCTCACAGGACCATGAAGGACTAAAGAAGGACCTGGTACTGGTCTCACAGGACCATGAAGGACTAAAGAAGGACCTGGTACTGGTCTCACAGGACCATGAAGGACTAAAGAAGGACCTGGTACTGGTTACACAGGACCATGAAGGACTAAAGAAGGACCTGGTACTGGTCTCACAGGACCATGAAGGACTAAAGAAGGACCTGGTACTGGTTACACAGGACCATGAAGTCACATGACGAACAGAACGAGGACCTCATGCACACAGCTCTGAGTAGATCCGCTGCTCCTCCATCTCTCTAACATGGTGCACTTCCCTCCTGGTCCTCTGTAGAGTTGAAAATGTAACTCCACAGATGAGTTTTAAAGAAAAGTTTTGGAACGTTCTGTTTTCGTGCCTGAACTGTCGAGGTGGAGTCCATCCTTCGTCTGTAACAGAAGCTCGGAGTGAAGACCCGCAGTGAGCAGTGAAAAACACATCAATAAATAAATACAAAATACATGAATTTAATAAACAGCAAATATGAGGCGGTGGGCTTTAGGGTCCCAATGGGGTCAAGGCTGTTTCACAAGGATCTGGAGCTAAGCAGGGTAGGGCCTGGTTAGTGCTGTGATGGGAGACCTCTGGGAACAGCAGGTGCCACAGTGGGGCGGCTGTAAAGTGCCAAACTGTGGTTGTGTCCTTAGGCAAGACACTTCCCCCACATTAGAATGAGTCTGGTGTCAAGAGTGCATGGTGGTGGTGAGAGGGGAAGATGGCACGGACCTGGTCTCAGGACCTGGTCTCAGGACCTGGTCTCAGGACCTGGTCTCAGGACCTCTCAGGACCTGGTCTCAGCACCTCCTCTGCAGCACCTCCTCTGCAGCACCTCCTCAGCTGAGCACGTGTGGTTTCAGGCCCCTCCTCTGCAGCACCTCCTCAGACATACACAGCACTGGGTTCACCTCCTTCACCTGCTCCTCCCCGAGCAGAGACAGACCTGCCACTCCAAACAGAGTATGGAAGGGGTCCACCTGCAGGCAGAGGAGGGAAGTGCACTGTTACATCAGGCTCACTCTGGTCTCAGCTCTGACACTTCTAGTCCTAGTGTTTAACATGATATAGATATGTCTCCTGATGCCCTCCTCCTCCTCACCATGTCTCCTGGTCTCCTCCCCCTCCTCCTCCTCACCATGTCTCCTGGTCTCCTCCCCCTCCTCCTCCTCACTATGTCTCCTGGTCTCCCCCCACCCCCTCCTCACCATGTGTCCTGGTCTCCTCCTCACCATGTCTCCGGGTCTCCTCCCCCTCCTCCTCCTCCTCACCATGTCTCCGGGTCTCCTCCCCCACCTCCTCACCATGTCTCCTGGTCTCCTCCCCCTCACCATGTCTCCTGGTCTCCTCCCCCTCCTCCTCCTCACCATGTCTCCTGGTCTCCTCCCCCTCCTCACCATGTCTCCTGGTCTCCTCCCCCTCCTCCTCCTCACCATGTCTCCTGGTCTCCTCCCCCTCCTCACCATGTCTCCTGGTCTCCTCCCCCTCCTCCTCCTCACCATGTCTCCTGGTCTCCTCCCCCTCCTCACCATGTCTCCTGGTCTCCCTCTCCTCCTCCTCCTCCTCCTCACCATGTCTCCTGGTCTCCTCCCCCTCCTCCTCCTCACCATGTCTCCTGGTCTCCTCCCCCTCCTCCTCCTCACCATGTCTCCTGGTCTCCCTCTCCTCCTCCTCCTCCTCCTCACCATGTCTCCTGGTCTCCTCCCCCTCCTCCTCCTCACCATGTCTCCTGGTCTCCTCCCCCTCCTCCTCCTCACCATGTCTCCTGGTCTCCTCCCCCTCCTCCTCCTCACCATGTCTCCTGGTCTCCTCCCCCTCCTCCTCCTCACCATGTCTCCTGGTCTCCTCCCCCTCCTCCTCCTCACCATGTCTCCTGGTCTCCTCCCCCTCCTCCTCCTCACCATGTCTCCTGGTCTCCTCCCCCTCCTCCTCCTCCTCCTCCTCACCATGTCTCCTGGTCTCCTCCCCCTCCTCCTCCTCCTCACCATGTCTCCTGGTCTCCTCCCCCTCCTCCTCACCATGTCTCCTGGTCTCCTCCCCCTCCTCCTCCTCCTCACCATGTCTCCTGGTCTCCTCCCCCTCCTCCTCACCATGTCTCCTGGTCTCCTCCCCCTCCTCCTCCTCACCATGTCTCCTGGTCTCCTCCCCCTCCTCCTCCTCCTCACCATGTCTCCTGGTCTCCTCCCTCTCCTCCTCACCATGTCTCCTGGTCTCCTCCCCCTCCTC